GCCAAGGGCGCCTACCTGTAAATGAGGCTTGAAAATCTAATATAACTGTGCCTTCGTTAGTAGCAGTTTGCTTTTCCAAAAGGAGTGATTTCATTTCGCCAAATCTTGCACACATTTACCAATGAATTCTATGCGGCATCAAATTATAGCATCTTGCAAAAAAGCTTTTTTTTCCGTAGATCTGCTATTACTTCAGAATTGACCTTTGTACTATTTTTCTAGATCAAAGTTAAATTTTCTAGGAATTTTCAAAGGTGTCAGTTTTGTACACCCGAAAAACGTCTACAAGCGTAGCGGAAAAACGTAGCTAATAATGAGTGCAAATTAAAAGTTAACAAAATAGGACCCGATGATATAACCTTTGGTAAAAGTCCGCTCCTCTTCTTATTGTACCCAGAAAAGAGCGTCACTCATTAGCAAAGAAAAGCACGTTCATCGAGAGCATGGTACCATATATCGATTCAAGAAGAATTAGGCTGGTATTCCTTTCTTGTGGTGTGAATGAATAGGAGTCAGAATCTTTTGCTGCGCTGGACAACTAACACAAAGAGATCCCTAATTTATCAGAGTAGCACACATGTTGTATGCATTCTGCAATATTACTACCTGATAGATGTTAATCCATTTGATGATATATGATAATGTCAGAGGCTGATAAGACTATTGCAACCACTGTCATTGATGAAAACAACTTCATAGAAAAATTTACTGCGAGCTTGTAAAAGGTATTCTGTGGGAGCTTTCGAAAAAAGAAGGCTCAGCATGTATTTTATTCGTAAATGGCCATTCCGTCCAAAATTCTCCCATTTTAACTATTTTTTCCACTTTAGGACACCCGCTAGTCACATCCGTAGATCAGTGGACTAGTTTACATCACATTGATCGCAAGTCTGTTGAACGAAGCAAAGCTGCCTATGCTTCAATCGCCATTACTAAGCGATTGACTCTGTGAGTTTTAATTCGAATTGATTTAATGCGCCTCTTCACTACATCTATCAAACATCGACTCCTAAGATTTATGGCCTAGTTCCACTCATGCCTGCCCAGAAATTGATAAAGGAAAGTGTGACCATCACTTCAATTTAAATGCGATTCAAAAAAGAAATTGTTCAGCTATGCATCACAGATCTTTCACCGTTTAAAACAGGTTCACAATTTTTTAGTCAAGAGTCAGCAGTAGAAATATGTATTATTTAAATGATAGCTGGTAACGAAAGATGTACCTTGAACCTAAGAGGTAGTGTCCGAACAAATTTCCAACTTCAAGTTCTTCTGCGCCATTTCGTTGTGTTGTACACATATACAAACTTTAATCAGCGCGGGAATATTTTTTAAAAAATGATCTTTGGCTCCTTCTGGATCAAGAGCGACGAGTTGCAGCGGCTGATCGTTTTTGGCTTCTCTCGCCAGCAGTACTCTGTAGCAAGAAAGCCGATTGCTTTATAACCAATGAAATTTGCGGTACAACTCGTTCAAAGGAGCCAGTTGCCAGCTTTTTTACATCCCCGGCTTCTATTGGGACGAGTCCCATTGACGTAAATTTAGCTGGTCCCGATAGGATTGGCTGCCTTGCCGTTAGAAAGCACTGTTAGTGAGAGAAGAAAACAATCTACTGCAACTCGTCCCAGTCAGTCCAAAAAAAGTTTTTGATTTCCACATTTTCACGCTGATTAAAGTCTATATTTGTGTTGTACACCGAAATGGCCCGAAAAAGTGAAGAACTCGAAATCAAAAATTTCCCTGACGCTCCTTCTCTCACTTATTCTTAAACAGAATCGAGAAACTCTCCTATTAAATCATAAAAAGGCCCCTCTCTACAAAGGCTGACAACTGACTTAAGTCCTCTTCCAGGCTTGGATTACGAGAACGAGAACTTCGCTTTGGCTTAGCACCTAGTCAAGTGTCTTCCTCCATTGGAAACTGCCCAATTCCAACACTAGAAGTTTGCCCGCCAACATATTACAGGTTTAACCCCTTTTTCTCGAAAACTTTCTGCTTAGCGAAAATATGATAGATAATTTGAAGATCATACTCGGGTCTTTGCAACAACGTTGCTCAACCGGAATGGGGCACAAGTCACGGTGCACTTTCAAGAATGCTAAAGCCAGCCTATGCTGATGGTAAGTTCTCCTGAATTCTTGCCGCAAATAAAAAGATAAATTTATACACTTTCTTCGGTTATATTTTCTTTAACAAGAATGTTTTTCCTTGTCTTCTTGTTAGAAATTTTGATGAGACAGACCACGTGCTGCTTAGGTCAGTGTTAATCGCTAGAGAGCGGTGAACCTTACTAGATAGTACCAAGTTAGTACCACGCCTCAAAAGCAGGCAGAAATCCGGGAGACTTTTCACTTACAAGGTTATCATTGCTTTTCACTTACAAGGTTATCATTGCCAGTATGCTAGCATTTGTTCTAATCTTGCCATAGCGACGTTCACGTATACCGTAAGTGATTCTAGAGTATGGTTCCGACTAAAATTCAGCTCGGACAAACAACTTTTCTTGATAGTGTCAACAGAACTCGGCTCAGCAGGAGAGTCAAAATTCCAGAGAAGGAGTTATATTTATTTAGCATTGAGGGCGAACTTAGAAAAGATTGTGACTAGCACAATAAGCACATTAATTTGGAACTTGAAACAAGGCGGTTCAACTCGCTGACAGCCAAAGTGACAGGAAATTTAAGCTAATCACCTCTGTACTTCAATAACATATCTTATATATAAAAGTTCAAAAGTATACACTTCCCACTTCGTGATATTTATTTGAATTTCATAGCTAAAAGGCTGACCTAAGCATGTTCCATCTATCATTCTGCATTTGGAAGATGTGTTAGCAGTTTCTGAAACTTCATATCAGGTTGACTATACTATCATTAAAAAAAAA